CTGTGACCTCATCAAAATCGTTTGGAATGCTGCATAAACATTATGTTTTATATTTTATGTATAAATAAGTATTATATTAGCATGAAAACGTTTCTATTAAGGTAACTTTTGATTTACTTATTTTCTTCAGCACACAAGTGCTGGAAGCATTTTATGCCCAGTCCATCACGGAGTGCCTCAATTTGTCTTAACAGTAGAGCTGCAACCAGCAGTTATTTTCATCTGCAGTGCTGTTCTCATAATTAGTCATTTATCCAAATGACAATTTTCTTTTATCATGACCAACAGTCAAACATTTAGGAAAAAAAAAATATATCAAAATCAATAGATGGTAAATATTAAAAGAGAAAAAAAAAAAGTCCTCACTTGCAAACATTCAGAATTTGCACTTCACGTGAGAGTAACAATTTTATTCTTTTTTTTCTTCTTTTTTTTTTAAACAAATGACTAATTCAATTGTTTCAGTACTACTTAGCAAAGTACTTCCCATTTTTCAAGTGCTCTAAGCACTTTGCCCCTTAGAGCTTTTATATTCATTCCTATGAAAATGGCTGGGATGCTCAAGTGTCTCAGTAATGGAAGGCAACGTGGCTTTAGGTCCCAAGGTCCAGTTTTTGTTGTTTTTTTAATGAACTCTTTACTACTTAAACACTGGCTCCTGTAAAATGCAACAAAGCTGAATCTGTCACTCTACAAAGAATGGTGGAAAGTCGCATTATTACTTGGACCTGTAACTTTGGTACACTCATTGAAACACGTATTAGCAGATAATTCACCCACTGCGAGTACTGAAAGAAGACGTCATCAGGTAAGTTTAACTGGATCACATTTTGAAACTTGTAGTATTCAACTGGCTGTGATGCAAGTCCAACAATTTTTCAGCAATTCTTTTTTTTTCCCCTTGAAAATAACCTTTTCTTAACCAAGATATGACAATAGCTAAAAATCTTCTCTATCTTGGCGTTTGGCCGCTGTGAAAGTAACTCCTTGTCAGTCGAAATAGTTCTGAGGCAGGCTTCATTTCTCAATCAGACCTCCGTCTTTTAATTTGAAGTAGAAAAATTTTTCTAAGGTGTTGGCACACTTGCAGTACTCGCTGTCTGGGGGGTTGTACTCGCGACAGTTGGTGATGATTCGCTGTAGGTCGGCAATAAAAAGTTTCTTGGTCACATAGTATCTGTTCTTGAGTCTTTCTGTCATAGTCTTTAGGTCTGTGAGGGCAAAACAAGGACAAAGAAAATCTGCATAAATTAAAAAGTAATGGCTTAAATACCACAAACAATAACCCCAATTCCAAAAACACTGGGAAGTAAAATGTAAACAAAAATGAAATGCAATGATGTGAAAATCTCAAACCCATATATTATCTATATTATCACAGAAACCATTTTGATGGCAGTAACACATCTCAAAAACAAGGTGGAACATAGGCACAAGCAACTGGAAAAGTAAACTGGATTCAAAGGGAACAGCTGGGAGGAACCCCAAAAAGTTGATTGTGTTTGTCTGGTCATAGCATTTTCTTCAGTCTGAGGAAGTCACTTGGATGAGAGACAAAATATTTCTCCCACTGAAAACGCTACATCTAGATGAACAGAAGCAACTTTTTGTGATTTACTTACCTGGATGATTGAGCATGCGTCAAGACAGTTGGGAAGAACATTTTACAACAAAATAGGTTAATCCACAACTAACAGTAACAGATTTGCTAGGTTTTAATTTCTTATGTTTTTACTTTGAACTGTGTATTGTATTGTAAAATGCAGGTTTTAAGAGATTTGCAAACTATTGCTGGGGGGTGGGGGGTCATATTATCTAAGCGAGGCTTACTCACCAATAGGAAAACGGATGATTTCGTAGTAATCCGGAGCTTCAGATTTCTTCACTGGTTCCATAAAGGGCCAAGCATCAGGATGAGTCTGCAGAGGTGACAAAGTTTTAGTTAGTCTCAGGTCTTGTTAGTCTGGGTGTATCCTTGTGTGTGCTCCACTCAGGTGTTAGCTGGGGCTTGTACCTGAAAGCAAGTTCAACATGCCAAGAATCTCTTTCCTAATGACAAACATGCAAATCTGCTGGCAGCAGAGCAGCTTATGTTACAAAAATGTTGTTACTTATGTTGAAAAAATACTGACTGAAGTCCACACAAGTGATGCATCCAAAGCAATGGTGTGTGACTGAGTGGAGAGTCAAGGAGGTCAATTATATGAAAAGGCAGTGACCAGTTCTGAACTGAGGAGGGGGCCTTTGAGCACATATTTCACCATCTAAAGCGGTTTTCATGTTTTCAGCATCCATGACTCCGCTTGGGCAGACTGTGACCTAAATTTCGTCATCGGACATTAAGCCTGAGGACATACGTGAATGTCCATGTGCCTGTTTGTTGTTTTGTGACTGGGCAGACTTGTCTGTGTAGAATTACATTACAGTGCACAAACTACACATATGCCCAGGCAGCTGAAGTATAACAGAAATGAGTATTCGGCCGTCGGGTCTCCAGCTGTCCATCTCTGCAATAGAATATAATCCAGGCTTTACAATACTGTGACAGCGGCCATTCCCAAACTCTTCGTGAATATGGTAGCCATGGAAATAGATCAATAGTCATGACAATATTAATACTCGAGATCGTGAAACTGAACTCACGGTCCATTGTTAGTCAATGCAAATTGACTGTTATGCAGTCATAACAGTCAATTTGTTATGACTGTGTAGGTTGATTTGTCTGTGTAGGTTCTCACTCATCCAGGTCATGGTAGCCATGAGAGCTTGAAAATAAACAAATACAACTGGACTTTTGTTTTGTTTTAAAGACATTTCACCTCTCACGGATGACGCTTTTTATGGGAACTTCTTAGCACCATGATGTACCCTGGTAAAAGAGTTAACCCTCATAACAGCAAAAATCTATGGTTAACCCTGGAGTTCAGCCCCAAATACTGCTTCCGAATACAGGCCTCTGGTGATCCTCACCTTTATCTGGGCGAGAAGGTTCTTCAGCATGTTGTATAGCACATCAGGATCCTTCACCTCTTTCCTATGAAAGATATAAATGATAAGTAAACCTTTGACTACACTTAGCCCTCTCAAGGCAGGCGTTGCCGATTTGCAACAGTTAAAAACTAACAACCTGATTACCCCACATACATATTTTATGAGGGGTTTTTTTTTTACTCAGAAGTACCACTGCAGGACTTGGTTGTGCATTAGCAACAAAAAGTGTAATTTGAACCTGAGAAGGTTAAAGGACCTGTAGACTTAAAGACACAACAAAAAGCTAAAGTTAGGTGAATACATTTCTGAACACCAACAATAGTGGCATCTTAGCATTAATACCAAAATCATAACAACTTCGATAAATTGTATATTTCAGTAGGTATTTCTTATTATACATTTTTTTGTTTGTTTTCTTCACTACTCAGTCATTTCTAAATCTTAATCTGTTCAATGAAAGTGTCCCTGCAGGGGAGGTCACAGTCCAAAGCAACATCATTTAAAAATATATCCAAAGAGTTTACCCTTTGTCCTTGTTACTGGGTTTCCAGCCTGTCTCTCCTGAATAGAAAGACAAAAAAATAAAAAAAATATGTATAAAAGTACTTGTAAGTAAAACATTAATAAGCATTTTATTATATATATTTTCAGACACAAAAACAAACACTCACTTATGCCTGGAATGCTCTCCACTGGGATCTGTCGTACTCCCTCTTTGAAGCAGGTGAGACCCGGGTAAACCTTTCTGATCTGGCTTTGTTTCCTCTCAATCAGTTTCTTAATAATCTATTGACATTTTCAAATTTATCTCATAAGAAACACACTGACATGTTCACAAAAATGAAGAAAAACAAGGTTTGCTTTAATGAGAACTTCTGACGTACCTCCTTCTGTCTTTTAATGATATGAGAAAGCTCGGTATAAGGGATTCTAGGGTTCAGTTCGCACTCCATGAGGGTCGCTCCCTCGTAGTCTTTGATGTATCCAAGGTATCGACTCTTCGGCACTTTGATGTCTTTGGAAAAGCCCTGCGGAGGGAAAAAGAAAAAAAATTAATAGAAAGACAAAAATGAGAGAGGGAAAGTTAATGCACAAGTCACGCCTGCAGTACCTGCTTCTTGAAGTAGCCAATGGCATACTCATCAGCATAGGTGAGGAAATAGAGGATATTGTGTTTGATGTGGTACTCCTTAAGGTGGTTCATCAGGTGGGTACCATAGCCCTTAAAGAGACCCGAGAAAAAGCACCGTATTTATAAAAGAAATTCCAACAATATTCAGCAATACTGCTCATAATCGTATTCATGTTTATTTTGCTATAGGTACGTGTAGGTAAGCTGGTTTTTCTGAACTGAAAACTGAGTATAAATTTAACCCCTTATTATATACCTTAACTTGCTCATTGGATGTGACGGCACAAAAGACGATCTCTGTGAAGCCCTGAGTGGGAAACATCCTAAAACAGATGCCTCCAATGACGCGGCCATCTTTGATAAGGGCTAGGGTCTTGTGTTTCCTATTAAAAAAAATAAATAAATAAACAAATAATAAAAAAGACGGAGATGTCAAACATGTGTGGGCCTCAAGTGGCACAACATGTGGAAAGAACGTTAGACTTACGGGTCAAACACCAGTCGTGTTATGTACTCTTTGGGCATACGAGGTAACTGATGTGAAAAGACATTCTGTAGGCCAACCAGCCACATCAGGATCTTCTTGTTTGATTTCTGGGAAAGTGAGTTTCCAATGACATGAAACTCTATGATACCACGTCTTTCCTCCAGCCTTGCAGTCTCATCACGGGCAGCATTTGGTGTCAGCAGATTAGTCTAGCAATATTAAACATAACAAAAAAAACAAAAAACAAAACACAACATCAGTATTAAATGTCTTTAAAATTGTACCAAAACAACACCAACTTCTTTACATAACCCTGGTGTTAAGTCAAAGCTTTTTAAATACCACCACTTAGGCTGTTATGACACATCATAGTAAATGTGACTGAACTCATTCATAATTGTTCCATGCTAAAAATGTTACCTTGCCTGGTGAGTTAAAATTTTGATCACAGAAAATTGACCAGGGTGTCTCCTTAGACATAACTAGGGATGGGCATCGTTTAGGTTTTATCCGATACCAGTACTTTTGAAACGGTGCCGGAATAATAATATTTATAATAAATAAAAAACGGCTTTAAAAAACAAACAAAAAAAACGCTATACGTCGCCAGGTGTTTCATCAGATTCGAGGTGTTACCTCCTTTGCACAGTATTACAGTATCAGCTTAAAGCAATTGTTGCAGGCTGCTGAGTTTGCATATTTTGCTGTGAAGTACAGCCAGACTTTTGACCACTTCGCCTTGGGCATTTTTAATCTGTATCTTTGCTCTAAAAGAACGTACGTACCTGGGCCCGCCTACTACGCTTGCAAAGGTAAAATGATTGGCTAGAATTCAAAGTGTGTGACATCTCAGGGCAAAAAAAGCACCGAAATGTGCGCTGCTTTTCGGTCGGGTTACTACCATTTATGTCAGAACCGGTGATACCGGTACCCATCCCTAGACATGACACAGGTGTTATGAACTTAACCAAACATTAAAAGAATGGAGTTTAACCAACTGACCTCTGGTCCGAGCATAGCAGCAGGGTCAGTGATTGTCATCATGACTTCATTGACCAGCTCCATTGGTATATCTCCCATCACACGAATCCGCTTGGCATCCTCCAGGGTCAAGGTCTCGGGAAGTTTGCGCTTTTCTCCTGAAATGAGTGCAACATTTCTCAGATCAAAGCAATAAAAAGCATAAACATTCGCCGACAGTGATCTATGACACAGGAAGGTCTGATTGAAAAAAAAAAAAAAAAAAATCTCTACATCTTAAAAGAATATATATTGATTAGCCACGATAGTAAAACCCAGTGACATGCTGGTTCACCTTCAAAATATCATCCAATTGTGCACCCACAGGAAGTGCTGAAAACATGTCTGATCCACAGAGGCCACTGACAGCATCTAAGCACTAGACATTCTAGACTCCTGTGCAGGTGGTTTTAATGTTGGTTTACACACCTGTCTTTGGTTCTGCTCCACCAGTATCCATGCTGCTGACAGAAGAGCTGCTGTTCAGACACTTGGACAGAGCAGGAGAGCCAGACACTGAAGCCGGACTGATCACTGCAATGACAGACAAAAAGACTTGACATATTTACAAACTATACAACAGGAACTAAGCCTTCAGTCACACAGGTCTAGAGCCTTCCGGGCAACCATAGGTTGCGCAAGAAAAATGCACAGTCATTGAAACATTGTGTGCCACACCAAAAACCTTATTGTGATTTCTTGGGTTGCTAGCATACTGCCACATTCACTCTTCACTTGCCTTTAAACATATGCCTTACACATAGACCAAACACATTGCAAAAGCTCAACTGTACAACTTTATGACTGCCTCACCTGTCTGATGTCCGAGCTGTGTGCCATCGGAGGCCGGCATGGTGAAATCAGCCTCCCATATGGGTGAATTCTCACCATAGATTTCCTCCTCCAGCATGGACAAGAACCTGAAGACACACATGTACAAATGTAATAACCATAAAGTGATCCCCACAAGATGAATGTGAACAGTGTCCAGTGCACCATCAAGTACACTGATAATCTTACTGCAGCTTTTCAGGTTGCCTTTTAACTTGAATACAAGCATACACCGTTTCAATAAAGCTTGTCCTTACTTGGGGAAATGTGTGAGGATAAGTGTACGTTTCTCTGGTAGCAGTTTATCCTTCTCCACCCTAAACTTCTCCAGGAGTTGGCGTCGGGTGACAGTGAAAATGGACTTGAGCAAGTTGCGCCCAAACACCTGAGTGGTTTCATAGCGCGGTAAGCTGTCATTACTTTGCGGAACATGGCAATAGCACAACCACCTGCGATCATAAGAAGAAAGGCCTTATTGCACAGACTGACATACAATAGTCACTTTAGAAACAAGTAAATGTACACATCGGCTTTCCCTACTATCAAATGAACGCACCTAGTGTAGTCCACTTTGTAAGCTGTCCCATCATCCTTCTGGGTACGTTGACGATACTGCGTAGGGGTCTCAAGCTTCCAGTAATTTAGGCACAAAAGGAACATCTTTGACAGTTCAAACATTGTCTGTCTTTCCTTTGGTGCAAGGTGGCTGAACTTATACTGGACAAAATTCAAAACCCCCTGTGAAATTAAAAGAAAGACAAAAATATTTAAAGATTTAAAGTCTGTGCTCACCAGTCAGTACACTGCTTAAGACCAAAACATTCACCGAAGCTATTTTCTTAAAATTTACCTGCTCAATGTTGGGCTTCTCAAAAGGTGGACTTCCGAGGGATCCTTCTACGACTGGCTGGCTCATCTGAAGGATGCATTTCCTCAGCAGCTGAAGGAAAGAGTGAAGAAGTAACGAGACAAGTTTATATCGGGCTAAAAAAAAAATATCATGTACATCAACTTCTAAGTTCAACTGAACCAGTATCACAATCACACTAATGTTTGAATGCCTTTTACATACCTTAAAAAGGTAGAAATAGACCTGCTTGGTGTCAGTGTCTTCCTCTTTGTGTACAGACATAAAAAGGTTCTCCACATCAACCACCATCCCCAACAGCCTGTTAATCTCATCTTCAGACACGTTCTCCAGATGTGACACATGATTAGCTGTAATTAAGGTGTAAAGAAAAATGTAAATGCATGACTGGAATACACGTTTGTTCGTTATTACAGCATTTCCAAGGTGAGCAGTACGTGGATGCTAGTTTGTACCCAGAGCATGTCCACAGCTGCGGCAGGGCTCGCTTAGGCTGGCTGCTTGCTGTTGCAGATCAATACGTGTGGCCGACGGTGGGTTTGGGTTTTTCCATCCATTGCACTTGCATGTGTCATTAGCCTGAAAATACGCAAATAATCCATACACGTCGATTTACACAATAACACAACTGTAGCTTTTGTACGTAAATGAATGACTGTTCAGTTAGCCTAACAATAAATGCATTTTTGAGGCTTTAATGTGAATAATACAGCAAATACAAGACTGCCTTGACAGTTAAAAACTGATACTGCAACACGTATGTTAGGTTACGTGCTACATGTTTGTTCCTGAATATACACAGTAATGCTAATACTGTCTGAAGAGTGCTTTGTTATGGTGAACTTTGGCTAGCTATGCTAGCTACCTTGCATGCGGAGAATACGCCAAGTTTTTCAAGCTTCTTCGCCCGTGGGAAAGCTCGGACTTGTGCTTTTTTCTGGCTTGCACGTTGTTGCTGGCTGAGCCCTGGTCTGACCGGGTCACTGTTCCCTGATCCTGAGCCTGCAGTAGTAGTAGTACTGGAGCCCGCTGACCCAGCAGACTGGGCTTGAAGAAGCCGGGGTTGTAAGGCCTGCGCCGCCGGGTCCGACATATCCACGCTGCTATAGTTTCTTCCTCAGCTCCCGTTTAGCTCATATGCTGCATTCAAGTTCTGTCGGCAAAGTAGGATTTGTTAGAATTGCAGCAAAGTTATTTTGTACTGTCTACGATTAAAACCGATATAGCCTTCTTCAGATTTATTGACAACTGATTTATATTGCCCCTCCCCTTAACGGACCCCGACCAGTTAAATCCGCCCACAGCATAGATCAAACGAATCAACTCACTGTGATGGTTTAGGTTTTTCCTTTAATATGCTACACTTCTGCATGTGTAACACGTGCAAAAATAGCTAACTAAGTGCCTGTAAGGTTAGGAATCTTGTCATTTGTATGTCCTTATATTTTAAATGCGTTAACATAAATGTTACCACAGATCTCCGCTTGCATGTCTTCCTTGCTCACCTTCCTGCCGTGTGTTGTTAAACCCTCTTTAGCTAGCAGCTCACCCTCTATTGGTTATAGTGGGATCTGCAGCTCTCACATTTTTGTTTTACGTAAAAGGAGCCCCAGATGTCACTGTATGCACCCCAGAAGTAAATGACAATCCACAGTAAGTATTAGAAAAAATATCCAGTATAAATGTTTAAACGATAGTGTCATTATCAACTAAACCCCATCAGGTAAATTTAAAGTTTTAGGATTCCTTCAGGACTATTATAGAAGGCTCAAATCTGCTCCTTTTGGGCCTTTTCTATAGGACAATGTTAAAGGATAAGATTAAAGACATTCTGACTAAGGAATAATTAAACTGAATAGCTCCACACATCCAAATTCAGGATTAAATATCCCTTTTTATACATGTCCTCTTTTAGGCATGTCAGCAAAACAGCTGCCACAGACAGCAACTGACCTCAAGTGTGTATGCATGTTAGTTTACACAATGTGAAAATGTGATTTAACAATAAATAATAACAATAAAAACAGGTTCTAGCCAGAGATCCAAATCCCCCTTGGGGTTGTGTCAGGAAGGATATTTGGCAAAAATATCAAATTACACGACCCCTTAAGTAGCTTTTATACATCATGTCTTGATGATGGAATCCTTCACTGTGCACATTAACGCCGTGGATAAAAACATCAAGTTCACCAGGGACAACAAAAAGGATAACTGTTTGCCTTTCCTGGACTGCGCTGTGCACACTGAAGAGAACGGCAACCTCAACATCGAAGTTTACCGGAAGCCCACACACACGGACCAGTACCTCCTCTTTGACTCCCATCACCCTCTGGAACACAAACTTGGAGTAATTAGGACCCTACACCACCGGGCAGAACATGTTCCCTCTAAGCCTGAAGGGAAAAAGATGGAACACACACATGTAAAGGAAGCACTTAAAACATGCGGTTATCCAAATTGGGCGTTTATAAAGTCAGCAAAGATGCACAGAAAAGAAGATCAGACACCAGCGAGGGAGGATAAGGACAGACGCAACAACATTGTCATCCCCTATGTAGCGGGTGTATCAGAGAAACTCAGGAGAGTTTTCTCCAAGCACGACATCCTGTGCATTTCAGACTCAGCAACACACTCAGACAAAAACTGGTTCACCCGAAAGACAAAACTCCAGAACACAAACTTAACAATGTGGTGTATGCTGTACAGTGCAGCGAGGAATGCCCAGACCTCTACATTGGAGAGACCAAACAGCCACTTCATAAGCGCATGGCACAACATAGAAGAGCCACCTCCACAGGACAAGACTCAGCAGTCCATCTGCATCTAAAGGACAAAGGTCTCTCTTTCAATGGTTTGAAAGAGGAGTGAAAGAAGCCATTTATGTCCACTGTGAGCAACCATCTTTGAACAGAGGTGGTGGTTTACGACACCAACTGTCTGCCATCTATAATCCAGTTTTGAGATCCCTTCCCAGACACCTTAATGCCCACTCACACCCTGGGCCATCTGACCTCAGGAAGTCACAGGATAGGGAGGGGCTAGGTTTCACAATGAGCTCACCCGAAACCCTGGTGATTGGGACCCACACCCGTTTTCACACCTTGGCTCATGTGATTAGGTAGAGGATCATCAGGGGGTCCTTTTGTCTCTCCCTGTGGGGATACTCCCACGGGGTTTAAATCTGGGACTCTCTGCCATTTGACCCTTAGAACAGAAGAAGCTTGTCAGATGAGAGGTGAAACATCCAGACGCTTTTCTTTCCAAGCTCCTTAGACTATCACAGTAATGAAATCCCAGAGAGCTCATTCTGTTTATCTGGACACAGTATTCTTAGTGCAAAGTACAGCTTCAGTTTCAGCTGACTACAGGTTTCCCCAGCCTTATAAATGGTACATTTGCATAAAGACTGAAAGTAGCACCACTGACTAACAGTCAGTTCAGTTTCATCATCGTCAATATGCAAATTCTCATGATCACTGACCAGTGGCCATGAGTATCATTCACAGACTTGTGAATGACTTGAGTGACTTAGGGAATAAGTAGGGGATTTTTAAAACATCCACGTTTTATTTTTTACATTATTTAAGCAGGTAAACAAAGTTATTTTACAAAACCAAAAACTACCAGGGCCTAATGCTAGCAATCAATTGTGTGTTTTAAATTGTAGTTTTCAACATGTCACACCCTTGTCTCCTGTGCAGTGTCTTTATGGTCAAAAAGCGATTTGTAACGTAGTCATATCTGACCAAAGACATGCTTCCAGTATGTCTAATTTTTCTCCAGATTGTCCTTAGTGTACTTCAGTTTGGCTTGAAGATGTCTTTTATGCAGAAATGGGGGAGTTTCTTGGTCTGCTGTCCATTCCTGTGGGGAGGTCTAGTGATTGTCTTTTTTGAGACTACATTTATCAATTTGGCTAAGTCTTGGCAGTTGTTCTGGGGTCTTTGAAAATTTTAGTTACTTATTTATTTTGTGTCTTGAACTTATTTTTGTTTTTGGTATGATGCATTCTCAAGCGCCAGCCGGAAATCTTGCTAAAGTTTTTATACTGTATGTAATTTAGAAGATTCTCCTCAGTTTTTCCAGGATTTTATAAGTTCTGAGCATTACAGATTTAAAGCAGGTCAATGCAGAGCAGTGTGCTATGGGTCATTAAAAAGGTCAGTTTTTCAATAGGCAACTTATAACTTAAAAAAATAATTATGTCCTTGTGTGCAAATAGAAATCATTTATGCCTATAA